TGAACTGGCAGGGTGAGGAATTGAAAAATGATTGGAAGCCGGGGTTAAAGCCGTCAAGCTGGAGATAAAGCCATCAACCCTCTAAGTAGAGTGCCAATAGTGAAAGGCGAGCCATTATTGTTCCCCCACCACCACCCTGAAGTGATTTTGCAAGCCGAAGCTGCAGTCCCCCTTGGCACTATGGAAGACTGGGAGGGCTCTTGGCTGAGAGTTACGCCATACTTACCCCCAAGCTTTGCTGCTCCTGATGCCCTGGGTTGGGGGAGGGGGTTGCACAAATGTGCGCACCATAGGAGAGCACAATCTTTTTACTCCAGTAAGAGCTCCAGCCCTTCTCTGGAACTGGGCCTCCCTGGCTTTGTGCAGAGCCTTGGAAAGGAGAGAGGTCTCTTGATGCCTTTAAGGCTCTGCAAGGGCTGGAGATTCAGAAAACAAGCCCCTGCCCACTCCTGCTGTGGGGTTGGGGGGAGGGGGGGTGTCCTATAGCTGTGCTCTGAGTGCCTCTCTGAAGCTCAGCAAAGCATCACTGTGAAGATTCCTTCCCTCCATCTCAGAGGGAGACTCACAGGCCAGGGGAGCACCAGTTTTGGCTGGCTACCAAGGCAAGGCAAGATTTGTAGACTCCTGCAATGCACCACTAAAGAGAGAGGAGCTACAGCCCTGGCCCAAAGCAGAAAGACAATGCTACGTGTTCATGATGCTGAGAAATTGTAACAACCTTGTTTCTCAGCAATGCTCTTGTTCCAAGAGCTAACCCGGAGCAGTTACATTCTGCCTCCCTCCCCCCGTCTTAAATTCAGATTTCCATGGAATATCATGCATTCAAAACTGTGCATCGAGAGCCAGTGTGGTATAGTGGTTAAGAGCAGCAGACTCTGATCTGGAGAACTGGGTTTGATTCCCCATTCTCCACATGAAGCCTGCTGGGTGACCTTGGGTCAGTCACAGCTCTCTCAGAGCTCTCTCAGCCCCACCTACCTCAAAGCATGTCTCTTGTGGGGAGAGGAAGGCGATTGTAAGCCACTCTGAGACTCCTTTGGGTAGTGAAAAGCAGGGTATAAAAACCAAAAAAGAAATGTTGGGAGTAGAAAGCTTTAAAGAGCCATATACCAAGTCCAGAGCAGTTTGGGAAACTATCCTGTATCCTCCAGTCCAACTTCAGTGGGATGGTGTATGCGTAACAAAAGGACGAGTCAGTCCCTAGCACCTAGAACTTACTGCACTTGGGGCAGTAAAGCCTCTGACACTGGCTGGCTGAACTAAGTGGCTCAGAGTATTCACAGCCCCCCAGCTTCTCAGGGGGAAAAAGCAGCCAGAAGGTTTACAGACCAACTATGGTTTTAAAAAAGGGGCAGGAGAGAAGTCAGTTTAGCTGTGACAGAAGCCCAAGGACAGAAGCAGTTTCCCGGTGTAGGCTGAGCAGCCACTTAAAAAGCAGTGATCTGAAGAAGCAGAGAGTGACAAAGAGAAGGCCTTGAACAAAGAAACAGCCAAGGAAGAAGTAGGGGTGGGGCAAAACTACATATGGGGCCCAGGACAGGATGGATGGGGGTAGAAAAAGATTACTTGGGTGGGGCTGAGAATTGGAGATCCACAGAACTGCTGAGTCTAGCTGGGGGAAAGAGATGGACCAATGGTCTGACTTAGTAGAAGGCAGCTTTCTGTGTCTATATATGAATGTCATTTAACTGAATTTCCATGGAAAATATGTCCAATTTGTTTTTGTTTTTTCATTTCAGAATTCACGTCAACGCTGCTTTCAAACTGAAGCATTAAAAACCACTTTGCTGACTTTATTACTCTACTTACAGAGAGGGGATTTGACACAAAGTAGTAATTAAAAACAAAACCACAAGACATTTACATTCTTTCAGGCTTAGTAACTAAGGAGTTAGTATTCCAGGAAGATTTTCTTCACAGAAGAGTTATTTCCGTTGGGAAGATGTTATTTTAGTTCAGAGATGCACTTGCACAAAGGCATCAAGGATCCAGCTACCAAATGCCAGAATTCCCACCCACCCATTCCTAAAACATCCTTGGACAGGAAGCTTTATTAATATGTGCAAGAATTCATATTTATTGCACTCTGGAAATGGCCTGATTTAAAAAAAACTCAGTGACCTTAGAGAAGGGCAAGACTGAGGCATTTACTCTGGGAACTGTTAGTGGATATTTTGGTATATTAGGTTTTAATTTTTTTGTTTTCATTCTGTTATTGATTATTCCTGTTTCTTTCCTTGGATAAACATTTATCTTGCATTTTGTTTTGTCTGCTCTTCTAAAATGGTGAGAAAGAAGGGGAGGGAAGAGAAAAGGCTGCAAGAATCCTGTGAAGTAGGTTAGGCTGAGAGAGTCTCGCCCAAGGACACCTACTAAGTTTCCTGACTCAGAGATTTGCATCCAGATCTCCTCAGTATTAGTTCAACCCTCTAACTACTATACCACTCTGGCTCCCTCTCCATTGTGGTATATAAATCACACATCTACATGAAAACAGAGGAAGAGGTCATCCAGAGATTTGACATAAGGAGCCACTGATGTATGGATGACACCCAGCACTATATATCTTTAATGGTGGAGCCAGCTGGGTCTGTGGAAGTTCTGAATAGGTGCCTGAAGGTGGTAATGGGTTGGAAGAGGACAAATAAACTGAAGCTCAATCCGGACAAGACTGGGGTGCTGTTGGTCAACAGAAAAACTGCTCGAGGACTGCGGAGTCAGCCTGTGCTGGAAGGAATTGCACTCCCCCAGAAGGAGCAGATTTGTAGCTAATGGATGCTGCTGGATCTGGGCCTACAGCTGGAGGCCTAAATCTCCTCTGTGACACATGGTGTCTTTTATCAGCCTTCGGCTTTATACACCAGCTATTGCCATTCCTCAAAAAAAAAAATGATCTGGCCACAGTGATCCATGCTCTGATCACATCCATGCTAGATAATTCCCTTTACATGGAGTGACCCTTCAGAACTGTCCAGAAACAAACTAGCCCAAAATGCAGCAATCAGACTATTATTTGGAAGGTGGGGTGGATACAAGGATCACATTAATACTTTCTGGAAAGATTTGCACTGGCTGACTGTTTGTTGCTGGGCACAATCCAGCATTCTCTTCCTTACCTTTAGGGCCTAATGATTTGGGGCTGGGGTACCTGTTTCCTTTATTGTATACTTCATGCTCACAGACCAATGGGTCATAAGCAAACCAGTTTGATAGTCCGTATGATACAGAATAATACAATCCAAAAATACAAGGGGCTGGGGTACTTGAAGGACTGCCTCCTCCTATACTATGAAGCCCACCTATTAAAAGGCTCCTCCTGGGCCAAAGCAGTCTCTCTCTCTCTAAATACTAGAGGTGAGGTGACACAGCCCTCACTGTTGTTAGGCACTTCTTGCAGAATCTGGAGACACTGGAAATCAACTAGCCAGACCTACTTGTTCTTACACTTATGTCAAAGGATTGCACAGCAACACTTCTGGCAGCTCTACTCAACCAGACAAAATTGTTACATGCTCCGGCTAAGTTGACAAACCTTAAGACAGTTAGAAAGCCAAAGTAGCAAGAGCTTTGCGACAACTCCAGAAACCTCAACCTGGGTAAACAAGCCTAGATTAAACTATAACTTCTAGGTGCTCCCTTTGTTATGCCACAGAAGGTAAAGACGGAGCTTCGGCAAGAAACCTGCAGAAAGCCAACACTGCTTAGACAATCCATCCAGCAGCAGACAGCAATGCAGCATCGCCAGACAGAGAGTGAAGCCTACATCAAACAAGTCCTTGCAAGAAACAAAACTGCCTGTTGGGGGTGAAAGAAAGAAAGAAAGAAAGAAAGAAAGAAAGAAAGAAAGAAAGAAAGAAAGAAAGAAAGAAAGAAAGAAAGAAAGAAAGAAAGAAAGAAGCAACAGACGGCAATGCCTGAAACTTCCAGGGCAAAACTATCTGGCCCTGAATCATTACTCTTTCTTGGGCAACTCACTGCATCTCTCCTTTTTTGACACTTGATTTATTCTCCCCCTCCTGCCCAAGCGAGCTGACAAGGTGTTCAGTCCTGTTTCCACATCATAACTGCAATTGCAAAATAGGTTGTAAGAAGAGACAATGTACTCCCCCGCACACACCCTAAACATGGAGAATGGATGAAAGGCTCGACTACTAGAAGAATTCTGCCGGATCAGATGGAGATGCAGCTAAGCCCACCACCCTGCTTCCAACAGTGGTCAGCTCGTATGCAAGGCAGGACAGCAACAGGCCATGGCTGCACAGGAGGAGGGGAAATTCCAGCAGGGGCAAAACCACTGCACCAGAACAGCTCTTGGCCACCACAGCAAAAGGGAACCCCCATGTCCAGAGGTAGTCTAGCTCTGACAACCAGATGCCAAAGATTGGGGGATCATCAGTGACCACCTGAACCGTCTGGCCAGCTACTCTCAAACAAACTAGTTAGTCCTCAACCAGATCCAGCCAGGCAAGTTTTAATTCCTAAGCATCCAAGTGTGTGCCACAGCTTTGGTCATAATAACTTGGCACATCCAACCACTTGTACTATTGCTTTCGCGGTCCCACATACACAAAAGCTGCAGAAGCCACCTGGTGAGTCAGCTGCAGGTCCCCATGTGCTCCTGTCTGGGCAGGAGGAACAAAAGACAATGAGCCAGCGGCCAATCAAACGCCATCTTCCGGCAGCCCCTTTTCTGCAGCCCCAGGAACGAGTGGTTTACCTGCCAGTGCAGCCAACCTGCTGAGTCAAAGGCAGGCAGCGCAAAAACTGCTTTTGTGGTGGACAGGGAAGCAGTATATAAAGGGGGGGGGGGATATTTGCGCCTCAGGACGCGCGCCTGATATGGTGATTCCGTTTTGGTGCACTTGGGAAGGTGGGTACGAAGGAAGCTCAGCGGCTTCCGAGCAAGACCGTCGGCCTCTGCATGCGTTCGGTGCACAGAGGAGCCCCGCAAGCCTGTCTCGGGCGGACAAAAAACGTGGGCGGGAGGCCGGCTTACTTACAAAGCGGTTGATCGTCCGGCGCAGCATCGTCGACCTGCCGCAGCGTCTCGCAGGAGCGGGCGGGAGGGGGGACTTGCAGGTTCCTTCCACGCGAATGGCACGATCCGGAGCCCCCCTCCCAACCTTTGCGGTGGGGACACTGCGGCGGGCGGGCTGGCTTCCCCCGCCCCCAGCCCCCCAGTCACCGGCGCGCCGTTCTCAGCCGCATCGTGCCTCCTCTTCCCGTTATGCCGCAGCAGCCCACGGCGGGGCTCTCTCCGGGAAGGCGTGGGCGGGCGGGCGGGGCGGCTCCCCGGCGGAGCAGGCAGGCAGGCAGGCGAACGGCGGGAACCCAAAGCGCTGGAGTTCAGCCCCTTCTTCTCCCGCCCGTTGACAACATCGCCGGAAGGTGGCGACAAGCGCGCTGCGCTTCCGACCTCTCCACGCCAAGAACGCCCCGTGCGCCCTCCTCGCCCAGACGCACGTGGCACGCAGCCTGGGTCTTGCGCGTTTCAGTCGAGGGCCCACCGGCCCGCCCTGCCTGCCCCGCTGCGGTCTCTGCCACCTCTCCTCTCTTCCAGCGTCCCCCTCCCACTTCTTTCGCAGGCGCTCCGGGGGCGGAACCACGGCTTCTCTCCACCCCGTCCCGAGAGCAGCCTGGGAGGTGTAGTATTGGGCCGGGCCTCGGGCTGAGCTTGCGTTAGTGCCGGCCTGTTGCTGCTCTCCTCCACCGTAACCCACCTCTCGGCTGTCCAGGCTCTGGCTCTCCGCAGCCGGGTTCGGGAGTTGCGCAGAACACCGGCTGGGCTTTGAGCGCTCACACGATTACTAGACCTGGACGCTCCGCTGAGGATCTGGAAGTCATCGAACTTTAACAATGGAAATTCAGAGGGAAACTCTGGTGTGAAACAGCGGAATGAGATTACAGGAATTGTGGATGGTCCATCTATTGATCTAGTACTATTTTGAGTTTTGCATGCTGTTATTGAGTGGATTTCTTCATTTCTCTGGTCCCAACCGGATGTCTTCTCTGTGTCAGTACATGCCTCCGTATCTGCTGGCTCAAGCATTCATTTCATGCATCTGAGGAAGTGGCCTCTAACCCACAAAAGTTTACTCTCCAACAAATCTGTTGGTCTTTAAGGCACCTCCCTCTGTTTGTGGTTTGGAAAGGTGTTGCAAACTTGAAATATTAAAGCAAAGTAGGGGATGTTTTCACGGTAATAAAATAGTTGCTCCCTTTCCAGCATAAAAAATAAAGCAGAGTCCATTTCGGCTTGGAACGGTACCATGGGTGAGGAAGAGGTCCTGCTCCTCCCACACAACAAAATAGCAATGGAGTGGTTATTTCCAAGAACAGCAAAAATTCCCCTCCCCCCTGTTGCTGTGGCATGAAAAACAGTTGGGCGGGGAGGCTGGAGCCCTGTGGTGGTGTTCTGAGCCAGAACAGGCTCTGTTTTATTTTTTTCACAGCAGCTGCAGAGAACAAAATTTGGATCCAGCCCCAGCTCTTTGAAAAAGTTAATGTCTAGTTTGGCCCTGAATCAGAGCATCATGCGATTTATGACTGACTCACATCTGACTTTGTACAGCCATCGAACAAATCAGACCAGTGCAAGCTGGATGGAGGTGATTTGTGTTGCAAGTAGAGTTACAGCCTTCTAAGTCTGTGGAAGTCAATGGTCTTAGGGCTTCATGGGTAAGAAATCTGACCAAAGATGGTCCAGCCTCCTGTTTTCAGTGGTCAATTGGATGCCTCTGGGTAGCCCACAAAGGCAGTAGCCCTACCCTCTACGAGACTGCCTATGTATGGAAGTTCCACATAACTATCCTGGCTAATATATGATAGATATAAGAGGCAGTCTTGTGAGACTTTGGGGGACATCATTCTGAGGGGATAGGGATGCTTCTTCCCCCTCTTGCATTTAGATCATTGTGATGCTTTCTCAGAAGCATCTATATTTTGTGCCAGTACCCAGATCTATTAAGACTGCCAGGGTAGGCCTCTGCAAACAGTTCACTTCACTGGCTCAACACACTGTTCTTTGCCTATCCTTAGAAATAGTTCAGAGGGTCCATAAATTCTGTACTGACCCCTTTGTCTCAAGACTGGGTAGATGTTTGACCTCTCATTAATAACACTGAAGCAATCATTGGGGACAGCTGCAAGAGGGAGGGTCAGCAAAACCCCTCTGCCCTCCTTGCTCCTGTGGAAATTGTAGGTGCATCCAAGACATTGTGACAAATGAACTAAATTATCATCACATATGCAACTGAAGAGTATTGTGGGACATCAAGACTAACATGTTTCTACGTAGTATATTTTTATCCTAGCTTTCCTCCAAGGAGTTTGGAGAACATACCTAGTTCTCTCTCCTTCCTTTTATTCTCACAAAAACCCTTTCTGAGAAAGTGCAACTGGCTCAAAGTCAACCATAGTGTAGGCCTTTGCATAGGTATTCCAATCTAAGGCCATCAAAAAGTCTGCCGTGACAGCATTACCAGTGAGCTCTGGGGCACAGTCGGAATTTGAGTCCCATTCCTAGTCCAACCACTGCAACATGCTGGGTTAAGCTTTTGTATCAGACATGGTCTCAGTAGGAAGTGATTGTCCCTTTTCAGAGGTTTATGTACACTGTTTGTCTTCTGAAGGTGCCATCCTGCAACTGGGCAAAATGGATAGTTGCCTGTACATGTGCATTCTCTGTTGTGGCCCCCGCCTTGTGGAATGGCCTGCCTGAGATCAGGAAGGATCCCACACTTTAGTTATTTGCAAACGACGTAAAACAGAAATGTTCAGGAATGTATTCTTACAAAGGGAGTAGGACGGTAGTATAACAGAGGTTTTACAACAGGTGGTTTGTAAAAGCAATGGGACTATACTGTATGCTGCTGTGTATGGTATGTATTATCTATTTGTTTTATGGATCATCCTGTTCCTGCTGCATTGTTTTTTACTTGTAATTTCATTATCTGCATTGCTTAACATATCAGGTCTGCTACTTTTTGCACTGTTTCTAATTTTGAAATCCTAGTCCTATTGCATTGCTTATTGGATCGCTTGTGCATAGTTTTACTGCATAGTTTTACACTAAAACTGCATAGTTTTACACTAGGAAATTTGCCTTGAGTCTCAGTGAGAAAGGTGGACTATGAATAAATATATGATGCTTTGGCTTTCCATGTCTAGTGGGAAGCAGGTCACACACCTACTCTGATGTGAACTTTCCCTTTCAACTAAATAATTTGGGATCTGCGTAGTGAAGTAACATGCCTATCTTTTGGATAGACTCACTTTAAAATAACACTCTCTGTACACTTGAACTGCACTTCCTTAAATCTTTTCAACCTTATTTGCCTATTGCAATTTATATTGCTGACAGGCAGTTGTTGTTTCCACTTTTACTCTCCGCCCCCCCTTACTGGTTGGGTGTTCTTCCTGGTTTTCCTGCCGCATAATTTTTAAAACTCAGTCTGTGTTTGTAGGGGTTTTTTGTTCAGACAGACTGAAATAGCTGTTTTAGCTGGCTGCTTAGGTTTTTCTTGGAGGAACGGTAGTGAAGGTTTTCTTGTAATTTTTCCTACACTGCCTCAAGCATTATTTTTTTAAGTAGAGAGATAAGACACACTTTTCCTAAATAAGTACATTACTTTAGAAAATCGCAGTGCCACCTCTCCAGGGAACCTGCTTGAGCCTGTTTGCGGGGAGGGCGGGGTATGTAATAAATGTAAAAAAATAAATAAATAAATAAACTACCCCCCCCCCCCAATATAATGAATGCACCCAACGAAAGCCCGGAATTGCCACTGGGAAGAAACGTCTGCCTGATGACTTTCTCACTGCCTTCAAAGCCCTCCTGAGATCCCACCCTCTGAAGCCACTGATACAGCTGTGGAGCCCCCCCCCCCGCGCGCTAAATCTAAGCACATATAGCTGGATGAACACAGAGTCTTCCTATTTCTCTTGTCCTTCCTTCCACCCCACTGGTGTCTCCCAGCAAATTTCAGATCATAATTCCCCAAGGGGAGCAGTGCCAAGCTGTGTGTAAACAGTCATAAAAACAATGGTAGTTGAATAAGGCTGAATTTTTAAAATTAACAAATAACAAAGAGTCATGAAATAAAGGTCTTTCCAGCCCACATTGATATTAGTGACAAATGCCTTCTGCCATTACACCAAGGAGTTTGGAGAGGCTGGTTAGACTGAAAACAGCCCTGTGAGGTAGAATAGGCCAAGTGCCTCTAAACAGCCTTCTAGTTAAGCAAGGTTTTGTGTTTCCCACTTTATTTGCTTGGGGGTAGATTTATTATTTTCCTGTTCTGAAAACATGATCGTAGACATACTTACTAGGAAGTAATAGCCCCCCCCCAAGGTAAAGGTAAAGGTTCCCTTGCTCGAAAGCCAGTCGAATCTGACTCCAGGGTTGCGGTGCTCATCTCCGTTTCAAAGCCGAAGAGCCAGCGCTGTCCGAAGACGTTTCCGTGGTCATGTGGCTGGCATGATTAAACACCAAGGCGCATGGAACGCTGTTACCTTCCCACTAAAGTGGTACCTATTTATCTACTTGCAATTTCTTGCTTTCGAACTGCTAGGTTGGCAGGAGCTGGAACTAGAGATGGGAGCTCACTCCGTCATGCGGCACCTGGGTATCGAACTGCTGAACTACTGACCTTCCACAGCCTGCAGTTCAGCATCTTAACCACATGAGCCACTTGAGACTCAATGCCAAATGATGCATGATGCTGGGGATCCAGGAGTATATCCCTCAGATCCCCCAACAATATTTAACTGCAGAAACAGCCACCTGGAAGGGTGTGTGTGTGTGATATGAATAGGTGCTGGGGCTCTGGGGAAGAGAGAGGAGGGGGGTTGAATTTTTTTGCCCCTGTTGTTCTCTCCATCTGAAAATGGTTCCTGCATCAGGCTGCTTTAAGTCCCACTAGGAAAACAAGACAGGCCCACTTTGGATACTACTCTTTTTCTCTATTATGTAGTCTTCCTACTGGGGAAATTGTGTACGTGTGTGGGGAAGAGTTAAAGTCCCCCTTGCCCTGATCCATCTCAGTCTTCTTTCCTCCTGGCTGCTTTTAACACATCTGGAGTTCTGTGTGTTTTTGGCCAAACTTATTTCTGCCTTACTCTGACAGCACATTGCACCACCAAACTTGATTATTACAGAAGCGATTTTTTTTAGAAGCA